AGTAGCAACATTACAGTTATGAAGTAGCAATGAAAATAATTTTATGGTTTGGTCACAACATGAGGAGCTGTATTTAAAGGGCCAGAAGGTTGAGAACCACTGATTTAGAATGACCTTGCCTCCTCTTATTTAGCATTAGAATTGATAAAGCTAAATGCTTAAAATGGTATCCCCAAAGTAATTAATCAATGAATATAAAGACCTTCAGAGTAAGTTTCATCATGAAAACAGAGCTCCAGATTTAGATTCCGGATATTTGTCCAGAAATACAATCTTATCTGATACAGTTTAGAGTCATGAACAGGTGGCTTCTTGGGACTCTCTTCCTTTATTTGAGTCTAAGGAATCTAGTTTATTGATCACTGCACAAGCAATAGGATTCTTAGATGAATCAGTGTGTGCCTAGGAAATTGATGTAGCACAGAATAGCCTCATACAACTTGAAAAATCTTGAAAACACATGTATGCCATGGCCTGCACACAGGTTACCTGGTCTGTCCCTTTAAGTCACCTGCTGTGTAGGTTAGTGATGCTACATTCTCTGTCCCCAGCAGAGACAAGTCAATGGCAAAGAGCACAAGTGCTCTGTTTGAACCTTACCTTTCGACACTTCTCTCTTTTCTACCTCTAATCCTTCTATTGCCATTTCACACTTCCTTGATCTGCTGTTTCTTTGTGGGGAGACCTTGGAAATCTCATGTTGAGAACCTTGTTGGTAGGGAGCCTCTTCTACTCCCTGGTGCCCCTTAAAATAATCCCTGGTGTCTGAGCCATACCCCTATTTTGGGAGCACTTTTCAGAGCATTTTGCCTCCACTGAACCACAAGTCACAATGTGCACTCTCTAGTAACTGAAGGAAACTTGTGTTTTACATTGATAGATACTGAGAACTATTAGAATTAAAGTATTATGTACAATGTTGTCTTGTTGTAACATCAAGACTAGGTACATCTTTATTTGTGTTTTGCTCTTTTTCTAGTGGGTTTACCTCAAAAGACATGTTTCTAATACCTCTGGGAAAGTAGGAAGGGAAAAGCAATCACCACTTTGTACATTAAAGTGCTGCAGATCTGATGACAACTCATGCCATACACAGGACTGAGGAAACAACATGTTGATAACTATTTTGAGTTCCAGATTTACAAAGGAAATAGCACGAAATCCAGGAAGCTAGTCTTGTCTTTCCCTTTATCTCGATGTGACCTTGTGGAAGATTTGAAATATTTATTTGATTTTGTTTTCTCATCCAGAAACAAGAGTAATAATGGCCATGTTTTCACTCCTCAGGTTGGTTGTAAAGGAAAAGGTAAGACACTATTTGCAAAGATCCTTTGTAAAGTCATTCTATATGTCATGACTTGCTGGACAACTCTCTAAAAAAACCACGTTTTGGGTTTCAAAACACCTTATCCATTTTTGCTAACACAGGAGAGCTGGAAGAATTGACCCTCAACACTATTCAAACTTTATGATTAGATGACAATATGACCTTCCAATAAAGAAATATTTAGCTTTCTCTTCTCTGTAGAAATTACTGTGTAAACCCAACACTTATTAGTCACAGAATTAGTTTTAAAATAATTTCACTACTTCGCTAGCCTATTACTAGTATATAATCAATAGATGGGTGCATTGGTTGATTTATAGGACCTATGGATTAATAGGGCACATATTTTAAAAATATAAATATAATGATTTATTACCTTGCACATCCCAAAACGTTAGGTAAAATAAACATAGAGAATGGGAGTCCAGGATAAACTGGGTCCGTGGTATAGGATGAACTCAGAATTGATACCTCAGGAAACAGTGCCTCTTAGTTGGGGTTCCTGCACCCCAAGCCTTGAGCTCCCACCTCCTTACCTGGCTCCCTTTTCAATGCTGTGGTGGAAGTTTCAGGTGGTCCATCTCCATCAGTTAATTCTGCAAAGTCCTGACTGTCGATCACTGCACAAAGGAGAAAAAAGCACGCAGTGTCTGTGATGGGGCCACGGGGATCATTGAGTGGAAACCCCTTCATGGGAGCAGTAGGAAGACATAGAAGCTAAGTTAAGTCAGGGCCCTCTGGTGTGTGGCCGATGTGTGTGAGCTTCGGGTTGTTCCAGGCCCTACCCGGAAGGTTGTGAAGTTCATGCACAGAGTGCAGCTTTGCTCAACCTGAAGCACACTTCTATGCCCACCCTCACTATACCTGCTATCCCCATGCCCATTCTATTTCAACTCCCATCTTCACTCTGTCTCTTACCTCTACTCTCTGATATCTCCACCCTCATTCTATCTCTTTCTTTCTTTGATTCATTCCAAACATATCTAAATATTTATTAAGCTAGATAGAGGGATCAAAGGGAAGTATACCTACATAAAGCCTATCTCTTCAAAATGGCATCGAATTCTATATTGTTAATATTTAATGAATTTATTATTTTATATTTAATTCAATTTATTGGGATAACATTGGTTCACAGAACCTTATAGGATTCAAGTGTACAACTGAATAAGACATAATTTGTACACTCCATGAATCACCCATCACCCCAAATGAAGTCTCTTGGTGCAGCTCATTTTAGGCAATTATGCTGATTTCTGGCCAAAGTGTCTCTTTATACCTCTCCTTCTCTTCGTGTGTGTTTTTCTCATCTCCTTTCATAAATATCTTAATTTTATAAAAAATTTCCCTACCCCAATACCTTCCTGTCTTTGCATATAGAAACATACACTCTGATATCAACACTTAAATTTACCATTTCTGTTTTTGATATTTTTTCAAATTACTGGGGACGTGTTTCTGTTGACCTCGCTGCATAAGGCCCTTGTTCCCTCCCTCTTCTACCTTAAACCAAGGCCACCATTACTATCTCCAAGAGCCCCAATGAAATGGCTCAGACTCTTGGTACGGGGATTCACATCACACATTTTTTCAGTCAACCTTACCTATTACGTCAGAGGCCTCGTTACAGTCAGTCCTTGCTTGGGCTTCACATTCAACTCCTGTATTTAAACATGACTTTTCCTCCTTTATATCCACTGGGTTTATAGAGCAGGAGTTGATTTGATTTCCCTGGTGAAGTAGCTCTGCATCTGGACAGAATTGTAATAAGTGAAGAATTTCATTTGCCTCTCCTAAGGGATTTAGCATGCTCAAATAATCAACAAGCCCTTCTCCCTGTAATCCCACTGCAGAAGAAAGCGCCCCCATCAGCTGCTCACCCTGTCCTTTCTCTGTTCCTCTCTTAAAATCAACAACATATTTTTATTGAGAGAGAGAGAATAGAGATATATAAACATCAATGTAAGAAGAACATCATGGATCAGTTGACGCCTGCACACACCCCTACTCGGCATGGAGCCCACAACCCTGGCATGTGCCCTGATGGGGAATCAAACCAGTGACCTCTGGGTGCATGGGAGGATGCTCAGCCAACTGATCCACTCTGGACAGAGTTTCTCTGTTTTCATTTGGCCCCTGTATTATGTAGTACATTCAATTTCTTCTTTTACATGTAGCTTATGGATTTGTGTTCATGTCTGTAATTGTATTATATTTTAGCTCTGCTTCTTTCCCAAGGTGGTCTTAGAAATCTGGAATTGAAGACCGCAGATCTCTCATGTATGCTTCCCAGAATGACTTTGTGTAATTAAGTTCCTCTCTCCCCCACCCTCTCCCCCTTTCTAAAATTGCTTGGAAAGTTTACTTGATAAAAATATTGAAATTGTATTGTGTTTGAATGATTGTCCTCTTTAGGTTATTTGTCACAGCCATTAACCTACCTAATACAAAAGTTAAAATATGAACTATCTTATATGAAAACAAATTTGTATTTTACTATAACTGAAGTATCAAAAATTAGAATGAATCTTTTCTGGTAAACACTATTTGTTTGTCACCATGAAAAGTTCTTATTTGCTTGCTCTTAGCTGTTTTGCAAAGTATTTGTCCAGAGGTAGGTGATTTTCTGAAATCCATGGACTCTATAAAGTAAAAGGGAGAGACCTGTTTTTGTTTGCAGTGGTCTTACAGAGTCTATACAACTCACACAGCTGATAGGGTTTGTGATAATGTCAATGTTGAGATGGTCATATTCCTCTTTCTCTCACTTGAACCCAGTTCTGGTGCTCCCCTGAGCACCATAATGCTGGGCTCCTGCCTGGTGCTCCCATTTACTTTCCATGTGAATTTTTAAATGACCTTCAAACATTATCATCTCCAGTTTTCCCACTGTGAATGCTGGGATTACCTATTAACCCTATCTCTCTGTTAAAGTTTTTGGGTAAAGAAATGAACTTTAAAAAAAAGAAATGAACTTTTATTCACAAAAGCCTTTTGACAAATCAAAATGTAAGTCAAGCGTTTAAGTATCATTTAAGTTTTAAAGTAGTTGGTTTAGACCATTTTTTCCAGAAGTAATTAATGTTAGCACAAATTATACTTTTAAGATGTTCTAAGTTTCATATTAATGATACTATTGTACAGTGAAATATTGTGCTCACTCTGCTTTATAAGATATAAACTCTTTGGTATTAATAAATGATAGTGTGTAGTAAAAATGATTGTTATTTACTAGTGCATTCTTGCTTCTTTTTCAATATTTCAATTGATTGTGCTCATCCAGTCAAACAACCACTTATAATGCCTCTTGCCTCCTCCTATATTCCAATAGGATTGAAATAGCTAAATGCTTAAAATGGTACCGCAGAAGTAATGAATCAATGCTTATAGAGAACCTCCGAAAAAGATTCATCATGAAAACAGAGCTCTGTATTTAGACTCTCGATATTTGTCCAGAAATACAATCTTATCTACTACAGTTTATAGTTATGAACAAATGTCTTCTTGGGTCTCTCCTCTCTGTTTGACTCTAAGGGATCAAGTCCTAAGGAGTAGGATTGTTAGGTGTCTCAGTGTATGACCAGGGAACCAATGCAACATGGAATTCCCTAATACAACTTTGAAAACTTTGAAAACCCATGTATACCATGGCCTGCACACAGGTCACCTGGTCTGTCCCTTCATATCACCTGCCTTGTAGCTTAGTGATGTTCTTCCATGTCCCCATAGAAGAGACAAGACAATTGCAAAGAGCCCCTGTGCTCCGTTGAACTTTACCTTCCTACACTGCTCTCTGTTCTACCTCTTAACCTTCTATAGCCATTTCACACTTCCTTCATCTGCTGTTTTTTTGTGGGAAAACCTTGGAAATCTCATGTTGACAGGCTTGTTGGTAGGGAGCCTCTTATACTCCCTGCTGCTCTTTGAAATAATCTCTGGTGTCTGATTCATAGCCCTGTTTTGGAACCACTTTTCAGAGCACTTTGCCTACACTAAGCCACAAGTCACAATGTGCACTCTATAGTAACTGAAGGAAACTTACGTTTGACATTGATAGATATTGAGAACTATTAGCATAAAACTATTATATACAATATTGTCTTGTAACATCAAGACTAGATACATCTTTATTTGTGTTTTGCTCTTTTTCTAGGTGGTTTACCTCAAAAGACATGTTTCTATTGCCTTTGGGAAAGTAGGAAGGGAAAAGCAATCATGAGGCGAGATAGAAAATGGCGGAGGTATAGATGTCCGTGTCCTGTGCCTTGTCCTGGAGCAGATAAGGGTGAGCAGCTGAAACGGGTAACATACAGCCCAAATAGGCAGAGGATATTCAGCTGAGAGACAGTCTGCAGCTGGGAAAAGACAGAGAACTCCCGGAAAAAAAGGACGGTTGGAGACTGCAGCTGAAATCTCTCTCAGTGCACCGGCTCAGCCGCGGAGACCGAGACATCTTGAGTGGCTGTTACCGGCATCCAGAGATCAGCTACTAACCTGGAAAAAAGGGATCTCAAGCAGCGCGACTGTGTGAACTCAGATGAGCACTGCTTCTTCTCAGGGAAAGGTTAGACTTCCCCTAAAGGTGCGGTTTGCAATTCAGGTTGGAGAGAGGACAGCGCGTGGGGCAAAATCTGCGCCCCACAGAGTCTGCGGCCGTTGGGACCAGCGTGACCCGCGAGTGGGGAAGGGGTTCCACAGGGCTGCTGGCAGAAGGGAACGCTAAAAATAAGCCCATAGCTGGACTGAATGCAAAAAAGTAGCCTCGGATTTTGCCATTCTGCCGGCTGCTTGGTGCCAGGGGCGAGTGGGTGTGCGGAGACTGTGCGCAGACCTGGAAGGTGGAGGCTTGCGAATTTGCACAACGTATCAGGCTCTTGTTGTTACAGTTCCCCTTAGACCTGTGCGTTTGATTATTAAACCCAGTGCATGGGATTTCCCAGTGGGGGTCATTCGCAGAGCCTGTAGGAGAAAGTTCTTTTTGGGGAGCCTGGGAAACAGAGCGGGGAGTAACGATTAAAGAACCAGCTCTGGGCAGTGGACTTTCTCAAACCAGTTTCAAGTACAATAGAGAAAATAAACCCTACTGATAGAGAGGA